CAAATTTAATGAAATAAGTGCGTTACACAAGATTAGGATTTTCATGTTAACTGTTACAAGTAAAATACTTGAATGATACAAGCGCTGTAAATATAGCCCCAAAAACATCATCACAGCTATACAAATAATTAACATGTTAAACCTCTGCATTGTTTACCAGTGACCAACAGTGAGCATTAGATTTATCATCAATGGTTTTCAGTCAGCAGTGAAGGCTTAATATTGTTATATGGCCAGTTAGTAATATTTTTTTATTATTTAAATAAGTACATTACATGTTAATGTGTTTGGAGCCCCCATTTAAGCAAACAATGCCTGTATTAGGAGGCTCCACTCTTTTTACATCATTGTCGTACACATAATACCAACACAGTTAATATTATAGTGTACTGAGACCTTAGGGTAAATATGCAATGTAAGTACATTTATTATTTTTATTTTAGTAATAATGTAGATAATCTTAAGAAATTTAAAATATATTTATAATAATTTAAATATAAAAGTAGAGCTATTATTAACCTTATAAGTTTAGCGTGATGAAGAGCTTGTTCAATATGATGGGGGTGGACTTGGCGATGATGCTGCATATCACAATGGTTTCCTAGTACCACAACAGGTAAATCGGCGGGCACTTGTGACAACTCCTTTACTACATAATCAAAGGTCCTAAAATAAATTTTTACATTATTTGGTATAAATGTATAAGATACTGTGAACAAATTCACTCTAGATAAATATTTATTCAGCTCAGGATTCAGCAGTTGAGTACCTAAAGAGAATCAAAATCCTATTTTTTGTAACTCAACTTACAATAGTTTCCTTCTATATTGTATTAATTATTTATGTATTTTTTTTAAAAACATAACAACACACATTTTATCCCCGAAGGGGTAGGCAGAGGTGCACATTATGCCACTGTACAATTTAACACCCACTTTTCACTATTTATGTTATGAGTCCCATGTAATAGAGGGTGAGCCTATTGCCATATACCGGGCACAATTCCAGACTCCGTGCTACTACTAAGATTTTTTTACCAGTAATACTTTGCCTGACCCGGGAATCGAACCCGATACCCCTTGCCCGGTAGTCGCACTTGCGACCACTCGGCCACCTGTATTCATACATAAACTAATTTTTATTTAACTCGTCGAGTACCGTCATTATAGACACAATTATAGAACAATAGGTTGCGGTCACCGGTGACCGCTTGGTGTTTGACAGTTTAAAGTTTATGTTTATATACAGGTTTATCATACATAAATTCAACTTTCGTTTTTTGTGGGTAGAATGTCATGTCACAGAAACTGGTTTATAATTTTATTGCTATTGCTTTATTTAGCAGTACAACATACCATGGTTTAGTAATATCAAGCATCAAAATCACCCCATTAGCATTTTTGTAAACATCTAAGAATGTGGCATCAAGAACTGGTGTTTCATAGCCATCCTCAGATGCTGCTGCAGCCGACTGGTTTTCGAGCTTAAGACCTAAAGGTGGTTTCTTCTTAGTTCGACCTTTATCTACCACTTCCCAAACTTCTACCTATAAATTAAAACAGGTTATAATGTTAAACTGTACTGTGATACTGGTATAATTTTAAATTTATTTATTTTACTACTCCTTTATTGCTCTAATAATATTTTATTATGGTATTGGTATATACATAGATATAAAATTGTATTTTTTTTTTGGTTATTATTTTTGTATTCATAACTTTAGCTAGTACAAAACTATTTTAATTGTTTCCAATTATAGTAAACAATAGATACTAAAATTGAAATTATAAACAAAGAGAAGATACTTTCACTCACTTTAACAATGTAATCGGTATTCTTATAAGTCCAATGAATTGGAGCAACTTGTATTTGATCAGTTGGTACGTAGTCTTCAATAAATGGTCCACCTTGCAGGCGCTGCAATAAGCACGACTTACCAACGTTTCGATCGCCTTTTATCAGTATTTTCACTAAAATCAATAAAAGACACGTAATCAATTTTTGATCTACAATTCATTTAAGACCCAGTGCTACAACAAGACACTTACTATTAAAATGAACTCCTTTGGAAAATTTCTTCTGCAGAGAAGAAGACATTGGTAAAGGAGCTGGGCAGCGTTCATCGCCACTTCTCGTTAGTTTTTTGAGAGCAGAAAACATTGTAAATTCTTTTATATATTACGATGTTAAATTAACACATAACATATAAATATAACACAAAAAATAGTAAGGAGCCGATATCAGCTGATGTTTATAATAAAATAAAATTATACCGAAAAAACTACAATACAAAACACTACTATCGCGACATCAACATCGTCAACAACCATTGACAAATGACATCTGTCAACCATCAAACTTAATATTTGTACCTCTTTGCATCAAATCAAACCAAAGTTGAATAAAAGCGGACTTTCCCTAAATGTACTATACAAACAAAGTAGCTTTATAAAAAACCGATGCTATTATAAATCGAAAAGACAATATTTATATTCAGAATCAAATCACTCTCCCAGAGACAATGGGACGAGCCGCTCTGCAGAAAAGTGTGCGAAAATCTCTTGAACTTGTTCAACTGCAGAGCGAGCTCGCCTTTGGGCTGTGAGGGAGTTGGTGAGCGGGAGTCGGGGTTATGGCTTCCTGCTTTGCCTTCGTCCAACCTAGGTTGGACCTACCTACTTTTTTGGACGACACCACGTTCCGCCGCGCTGCAATTTGTTAAAGGCTTGGAGCTTCATTTTGTTGGAGCATCGTTGTCGTTGTTGTGAAGATGTCAACAGCCTTGGACACCACGACTTGTCATGTAGTCGTAGTGCGGGCCGTTTTGCTCGACATGTAAGTATTAATGACAATCATAATTCAGCGAGCTCTTGCCTCAGTTGGCGTGCCAGCTACTTTAGAACCTAATGGCTTAATACGCGACGATGGCAAGAGACCCGACGGTATGTCATTATTCCCTTGGAAGATATGTCATTATGGCCTTTAGTAGGGGACGCCACTTGCGTTGATACTCTGGCGCCATCCCATCTTCCAAGCTCAGCGTGACGAGCCGGTGCTGCCGCTGCTGCTGCCGAGATCCTCAAACGCGCGAAAGTATAATAGCCTGATTGGCAATTATACTTTCGAACCGTTTGGGGTTAAAACTTTAAGGCCGTGGGGCCCAAGTGCACATCGTCTTTACAAAGATATTGTAAGGAGGATGGTTGACACTTCAGGTGATCGAAGGGCTGGCTACTACCTTGGGCAAAGGTTTAAGCATTGCCATTAAACGTGGCAATGCTGCACGTCTTTTGGGCACCCTACCTCACAGTAGCACATGAGGAAATTTTTTTCTTTGATATCTTAAGATTTATTTTTTTTAAGGTGTAAATATTTTAGTTTTAAATTATTTATATCTTAAATTGTATATATTAATATTCTCTATTTATTTATTATATTTGAAACTTTGTGAATAAATGTTTATATTCTGATCTCTTTTAGCATACGTCTTTTAGCGTAATGTAGAAAGAGATAAAAAGACTTTAGTAGTTATTTGAAAAATATTTTGAGTATTGACTCCACCTCCGTGGCAGGTCACCATTTTATTTTCTGTTTCTGTTGTACGGAAAAAGTCAGATTCATTACAGGTTAAAAAAATGAATTTACGGAATGTTTCAGGATTTTTGATAGAGTGCTATTGTTTCATTTACGAGTAACTTTGTCCTACACTGAAAATGCTTTAGTGTGGTGTTACAGGCTGTGGAGTATACCACGAAATATGGCTGTAGATCATCTCGTATATCCCTTCACAAGTATCTAAGTCCTATTTATATACAGAAAAATGTATTTT